TTGGCAAAGAATGCTGAAAGTATGGTGGACTGCTAAAAGAACTAACAGTTCTGTCCTGGAGGAAGTGTAGCCAGAATGCTCCTTGGAGGTAAGAATGGCCAGACTTCATCTCACATAGTTTGGTCATGTTGTCAGTAGGAACCATTCCCTGGAGAATGATGTCATGCTTGGTAAGGTGGAGGGTCAATGAAAGAGGGGAAGGCCCTCAATGTGGTGGAATGACACAGTCTTGGCAGCGATGGGCTCAAGTGTAGCAAGAATCGTGGAGGTGGCTCAGGACTGGGTGGTGTTTTGTCCTGCTGTGCATAAGGTTGCTATGAGTCAGAGACAACTCAATGGCACCTAACAACAATAACAACATACAGAGTGCTTGGCAAATTGACCTTTCAAAAAAACCAAAACCCAAACTCACTGTCATAGACTTGTTTCCAACTCAGCGACTCCATATGGTTTCCAAGGCTGTAAATCTTTACAGAAGCAGACTGCCTCATCTTTTTTTCCCATGGAGTAGCTGGTGGGTTTGAAACAATGACCTTTTGGTCAGCAGCCAAATGCCTTAACCACTACACCACCAGAGCTCTTAAATTGACCCTTCCTTGCTTCCAAATTCATGTATTCACCATTGCTCACCCTCCTTCAACCTTCTACACACTAATACCCAGGAAACCCTGTATTCCATTCATACCAAAACATTTAGAACTGGTTAACTTCACCTGTTCCTGGGATTTCACACATACTCCTCCCTCTGTGTGGAAAACTCTATTAGAAACTTGTAACCTCGCTTCCTCCCCTTTAAAACCTTTAAAAGTCAGTTTTGATGTCACTTTTTCTAAGCATTTTCTGACCATCCTAACACTGATCTCTGTGACCTTCCTCTGTGCCTCCAAGGGTTTTGTAAATATGACTTGCATTCAAATGCTCATGTCCTTACCTGCTGCTTCTCCTAGGTTTTAAACTCTTGTAGGTCAGGGTCATGTCCTAACCCTTTGTGATCGAGTTGATTCCAACTCTTGGTAACCCCATGTGACAGAGTAGAACTGTTCTCCAGGTTTTTTATTTTTCTCCCCTATAGTGCTTTGGGTATGAATCATAGCAATTTCATTAGAATTAGTTGGGCACCTACCTATTTGTTGCATAACATGAGCAAAGACAGTGTTTTATTCACTCTGCACCCTTCAAAAAACCTGCCTTTTACATTTTCTATGGTGCATTTTTTTTTTTTTTTTTTGACTGTAATCTTATTGGAAACAGGTCTCCAGGCCTTTCTTTTGTGACACTGCTGGGTGGGTTCAGACTGCCAACCTTTTAGATTAGTAGTCAAGCACAAACCATATGTGCTGCCCAGGGATCTGGAGTCATGCCCTACTGTTCTTGTATTCCCAGATCTAGCACAAGCTTGGCACATGGAAGGTGTTCATTAGATTTTTGCCAAGTGAATGAATTAATTTCTCAACCATAAATGCCTCAGAAATGAAGGTTTATCTGATCATCCTTACTTTTGGTACAAATTAATGATGTGTTATCCACAAATAACAAATACAGGCCCCCTTTCCCAGACACCAGTATTAGCTATCAGTGTTTTTTTTTTTCTGAATGCCATTCTACTTCCTGCCCTCTCTATGTTTCTGGTACTTGGATTCCAGAAATTTCCCACACTGTTGGACCTGGCACTTTTATTGCATTTTTCATCTAAGAATATGACCAGCAAGTCATTAAACCACATTTTTCCTAATTAATTTACAGGGTTACTTTAAAATGTCTTTGGAAGTTTTTTTGTCCCTGTATTCGATTTTATCTTTTACTCCAGAGAGCACCATAGAAAATGTAAAAGGCAGGCTTTTGAAGGGTACAGAGTGAATAAAACATTGTCCTTGCTTATGTTATGTAACAAGTAGGTAGGTGCCCAACTAATTCTAATGGAATTGTTATGATTCATGCCCAAAGCACTATGGGAATTTAGAAACTGAAGTCTATCCCAGTAGTATAGCTAAAGTAAAATTTGTAGGGTGTAATATTTGGATAAATTACTATAATTTGTTGACTTCTGACTGATGTCTAAAAATGGACATTTTATTCTGTGATTCCTATCTTTGATTCCTTCTCTTTTATTTAAAATAAAACATACATTTCAATCCCCTATAAAGGAATGGTATCTGAATATAAAAAGTTGCAGCTACACAAAAAGAAATAGCAGGCTATTGCAAATTAGTCAAAGTAAATGTTTTCAGTATTGATTGAATTATTGATATATGTAAACCAAAAAACCAAACCCACTGCATTGAGTTGATTCTGACTTAAAGCAACCCTATTAGGACAGAGTAGAACTGCCCCATAGGATTTTCAAGGTTCTGGTGGCATAGTGCCTAAGGCATTTGACTGCTAACCAGAAGGCTGGCGGTTCAAACCCACCAGCCACTCCTCAGAAGGAGGGTTGGGCAATCTACTTCCGTAGTGATACCTCTTCAGGGAAACCCAAGGAGGGGTCGCTATGAGTTGGATTCAACTCGATGGCAGTGAGTTTGGCTTGTTTTGGTTAAATCTTTATGGGAGCCTACTGCCTCATCTTTTACCCTTGGAGAGGCTGGTGTGTTTGAACTGCCAATATTTTGGTTACTAGCCAAACAAATTAACCACTATGCCACGAGAGCTCCTTTAATGATGTGTATGTTGTTGTTGTTGTGTGCCATTGGGTTGGACTCAACTCATAGTGACCCCTCCTTGGGTTTCTGAAGCAGTATCACTACGGAAGTAGATTGCCCAACCTTCCTTCTGAGGAGTGGCTGATGGGTTTGAACCGCCAGCCTTCTGGTTAACAGTCAAGTGCCTTAGGCATTGTGCTACCAGAGCTCCTAATGATGTATATAGAATTATGTTATTCTATTTAGCTTCCCAATAGAATAGAAGCTTCATTAGGGCGAGAGCTTTATCATAGTCCTCATTATATCTTCAGTACCTAAAAAACTGCTAACATGTAATCATAAAAAAAAATATTTGTTGAATGACTGAAATGGGCATAATGCAGTGACGGGTTGCTATATTTTCAATTCAAATTATTCTTGATTTATTTTATTTTATTTTCATTTATAGATGGAAATACTGATGAGTACTTTGCCATTAATGAAACATCAGGAAAACTTTCAACTACACGTGCTTTGGACTGGGAGCAGGTCAACAACTTTACCCTTGTCATCCTGTGTTCTGATCTGGGGGATCCACCTAGGACCTCTGTGATGCAGTTGCAAGTTAGGGTTTTGGATGATAATGATCACAGCCCTTCCTTCCCCATGCTTCATTATCAGTCTTCTGTAAGAGAAGATATTGAAATGGGAACAGTGGTTCTTGTGCTCTCTGCTATGGATGAAGATGAAGGCGCAAATGGGCAAATTGAGTATTTTCTGATGAATGAGGCTTCTGGTGTATTCACCATTGATCCTGTGGCAGGCACATTGAGAACTGCCCACACCCTCGACCGAGAAGCCAGATCCCAGCATACATTCAGGGCAGTGGCCCGAGACTGTAGTGTCCAGGGCTCGAGAAGCACCACAGTAGTAATAAACGTCCATGTTACTGATGTCAATGACAACGACCCAGTTTGGGAACAGAACCCTTATGACGTTTTTCTTTCCCACCAGTCACCTGCAAACCTCACAATTGCCACTCTGAGAGCTGATGACCCAGACCTGGGTCCCAATGGAACTGTCCTTTTTAGTTTTACAGAAACCCAGTCAGTGTTTTCTATTGATAAACATACAGGAGTAATTCAACTTCGGCAAAGCCCAGCTTCTGAATATTTTCCCATATGGTTGCAATTAAAAGTTATGGACCAAGGGGTCCCAGCCAGGGCAACCACTGGTCTCTTGGTTGTTCACATGGAAGGAGAAGATATAAAGCTTTCCTTCACTCATCATCTCTATAAAGGGACTGTGACTGAAAATTGTGAGGCAGGTAAGTGTCTCATCTAGTTAATGTATATTGCACATGTTTTGACCAAATGTTTATAACTAAGGATCATATAAGAGGGATATTTTGGATTCATTTATAAATTTTTGAGTTCATCTTATACTTGTCAAGCCACTTTTCATCTAAATAATTTTATTAGAAAAAATAGACCCAAATACAGCAGAATAAATCCCCTTTAATGACAACAGACCAGAAACCAGACATACTGCCATAGAGTCATTTCCGTCTCATCGCAACCCCCATTGGGTTTCCCAGGCTGTAAATCTTTATAGAAGCAGACTGCTTCCTCTTTCTTCTGCAGAGCAGCTGGTGGGTTTGAACCACCAGACTTTTTGGTTCACAACCAAATTAACCACTACCTCACAAAAGCTCTTTCTAAAGATAACAAGAAGTAATAAAAAGACTGAAAAATATGTCTTCCATGGCTCTTGAAGTTTCAGTTCATTTAAATTTACAATCTCAAAAAAATTACTTTAAAATTTGAATCCTTAACAACTGTACATTTCTTAAAGTACCTTCTTAGAAGTGCAATGAAGAATGAAGTATGAAGTCATAATTAAGTGCTTAGGGTCTGCCTGTGTTTAAATCCAGATCCCGTTTCTGTGTATGTTTGGGCAGCTGAACCTTTTGGAGCCTCAGTTTCCTACTCTGGAAAGTAGAGATAATAATAACCATATACTTTATGAGGTCACTATGAGGATTTAATGAGCTAGTTCATATAAAGCACAGAGAACAATGTCTGACACACAGTAAGGAAGTAATCAATATGAACTGCTATTATTATTATTATTACTATTATTACAGCAACTTCTTTTTGATGTAGTCAGCAGAGGCTTTTGAAACAATGCACTAGTTACTCATTAAAGAATTTGATGCAGTTCCAAACAGACACAGTTCAAATCAGGTATCCATGAATTATAACTATACTTCCTCATAATGCTACAATCTTTTCAATTATGTTCCTACTAGATTTATGCCATAATAGGAAACATGGAAAAATAAATAAATAATTATTACCAACAATTAAAAAATCTCTTTGTAGATAGTTGGAAATTGAAAGAAATTTGGTCTAGTTAATTTGATCTAAGTAGTGAGTAGGAGGACTACCTGGATAGTACAAATGGTTGAGTTCTCTGCTGTAGCTGAAAAGTTCCTGGTTGGAACCCACCCAAGGGCATCTTGGAAGATAGGCCTGGCAGTCTGCTTCTAGTATATCACAGCCTTGAAAACCCTGTGGAGCACAGTTCTACTCTGACACGTGTGGGGTCTCCATGAGTAGGAGTCCACGCCACAGCAACTGTCAATAGCAGGGAATGGGAAAGTCAGAATCCACTGGAGGGCAATGGGTTTCTACTGGTAGTGAATAGATAAATGAATATTCAGATTCTTTCAACTAGCCAGCCACAGGCCAAAGCCAACAGGCTACAGTTTGGGAGAGGGATTTAGTAGCAAATTTCTGATGTGTGGGTGCTGTTCGCTTGCTCACATTTTGTCATTTTTATAGTGATTCACATTCACTTCATCTATACATAAACCTGTCATTTAAAAGAAAACCTGCGTTTTTCTGAAACTAATGTTCTCGTGTCATAGTGCGCATATTTTAAAATTATACATTATATACTGTGTTCCTTATGAAAAAATAATTGTTAATAATAAATTAAAGATGTCCTCAGTTGCATGTTATTAACCTCACTTTGAAGCCCCTCAGAATTATGCATATCCCATAGTCTGCTTACTTAGATGTCTCTTATTGCTTATAAACATAATTAAGAAAATTATGAAGCAGGTGAGTAATTAATAGGTAATTAAGAGCAAATTGCAGTTATCTTCACTAAATGAAGTAACAATGACTTCCAAAATAAGTCTAAAGTTTTCTACCTGTATTTTTATGTATAATGAGATTTTCATATAAGAGTTAAGTGTTAAACAATATTAGGTTCACTTATAGCTATACTTCTCTTCCTCTTAAGAAGTATATATGCCAACAGCAGAGCAGAACCTAATGGAAAGTAAACACTTTCTAATTAATAACAGTGAAAAATACCAAATATTACTAATTTTTGAAATTGATCTCATAAAATCCTAGAATCTTTAAGCCCAACCTTGTCTTCAGTGTAAATATAAACATCTCTCCTGGAATAGCCCTGACAAATTGCAATTTTACATAAGTGATAAGGGTAGGTATCACTGAGAAAGTGGTATTTGGGCCAAGATTAAAAGGAGGTACCTGTGTGATTATTAAGGAGCTCTGGTGATGCAGTGCCTAAGGCATTTGACTACTAACCAGAAGATTGGTGGTTCAAACCCACCAGCTACTCTGTGGAAGGAAGATGGGGCAATCTACTTCTGTAAAAGTTTACCACTTTAGAGATGCAGGGTAGGTTGCTGTAAGTTTGAGGAGACTTGATGGTAGTGGGTTTGGTTTATTTAGTTTTGGGTGTGATTATTGGTGAGGGCAGGGGCAGAACATTTTATGCAAAAGGAAAAGCTAGTGGCTTCCTACCTGCTTTGTTCAAGGAACAGCAAAGATGACCATGTGTCTGCAGCAGAGTAAGGAAGAAGAAAAATAGCAGGAAATGAGGTCATGTAGGACCTGGAAGGACTTTGGTTTATACTCACAGTTTTCATCTGTAGTTCATTCATTTTTCCTTCACATGATAGGAATTCCAACCACTATTAGTAAACATTCACATCCAATATAGATTTTACAGAATAATGGACATTAAATATATTATTTCTCAAAAGAATTGGCATGGAAGTCATTCAGGTGTCATGAATTCACTCTGTTGATTGGAAGTTGCAGTTACAAGAGGAAACTACATTGATTATTTCCCCTCATTCAGGCAGCATCTCATCAAATCTCTACACACACACCTTACTTCCATCTACTTCCAAACATCACAGTTAGGATTAATCAACATTCTAACACAACTTAGTCTGAGATAAAGTGTTAGGGCAGAAGATAGTAAAGACCAAATTACCTCTAAAGGTGGAAGCTTCAGTTTGAAATTCAGTCACAAAAGTTAATGTGAATAAATGGATAGAATATCTCCATCCTGCTATTTGTGTTTGTTTTCTTTGACTCCACATCAAAATTGTCCTTCTTGTCCACTTGTATTTGGAAAGATTTAACTTACTAAATTTGACATTTATCACTTTAATATAGAACTTAACAAGCCTTATGAGAAGCAGAGGAACATTGTCTGATACACTGTCAGGAGAATGAACCCGTCAGTTTGTAAGGAACTCAAAATATGACTAGGGAAAAGTTGCCTCCCCAAAGTGCAGTTGCCCTTAATGATGTACATGGAGTAAAGCTTTCAGGACCTTCATTTGCTGATATGAAATGACTCTAAATGACAAGAAACAGCTACAAACATCCATTAGTCATTGGAATGTGGATTGTATGAAGTATAAATGTAGGAAAATTGGAAGTCATCAAAAATGAAATGGAACACATAAAAATCAATATGATAGGCATTAGTGAACTAAAATGGATTGGTATTGGCCATTGTGAATCAGACCTTCATATGGTCTAATATGCCAGAATGACAAATTGAAGCAGAATGACTCTGAATTCATTATCAGAATGAACATCTCAAGATGTATCCTGAAGTATAGCCCTGTCAGCGATAGGATAATATCCATATGCCTACAAGAAAGACCAGTTAATACAACTCTTATTCAAATTTATGCACCAATGCCAAAAATGAAGAAATTGAAGATCTTGACCAACTTCTGTAGTCTGAAATTGATCAAGCATACAATCAAGATGCATTGATAATTACTGGTGATAGGAATGCAAAAGTTGCAAAGAAAACTCAGTAGTTGGAAAATGTGGCCTTGGTAAAAGAAATGGCACTGGAGATCACATCATAGTAATTTGCAATAGCAACAGCTTATTCATTGCAACTATATTTTCTCAAAAGCGTAAATGGCAACTATGCATGTATACCTCACCAGATAGAATACATTGGAATCAAATGGACTATATCTATGGAAAGATACAACAGAGAAGCTCAATATCATTGGTCAGACCACAGCCAGGGACTGATGAAGAATTGACTATCAATTGCTCATACGCAAATTCAAGCTAAAGCTAGAGAAGATGAAAATAAGTCCATGAGAGCCAAAGTACAACCTTGAGTATATCCTACCTGAATTTAGAGAAATCTCAAGAATAGATTTGATGCATTGAACATTAATGGCTGAACACCAAATGAGTTGTGGGATGACATCAGCAACATCATACATGAAGATACCAAAAGGTCATTCAAAAGACAGGAAAGACCTAAATAAATGTCAGAAGAGACACTGAAACTTGCTCTTGAGTGTAGGGTAGCTAAAATGAATGTAAGAAATGATGAAGTAAAAGAATTGAACAGAAAATTTCAAAGAGTGGGTTGAGAAGTCAAAGTAATGTATAATAATGAAATGTGCAAAAACCTGGATTTAGAAAGGAAAGAACACACATGACATTTCTCAAGGAGAAAGAACTGAAGAAAAAACTCAAGCCTTGAGTTGCAATATTGACGGAATCTATGGGAAACATATTTGAAAGCATCAAAAGAAGGTAGAAAGAATACACAGAATCACTGTACCAAAAAGAATTAGTTGACATTCAACCAATTCAGAAGATACAGAAGAAGTTCAAACTGCACAAAACACATTTGTGAAAAACGAGGTTCCAGGACTTGACAGAATGCCAACTGAAATGTTTCAACAAATAAATCTAACACTGGAAGTGCTCCCTTACTTATGCCAAGAAATTTGGAAGACAGTTATTTGACCAATTGAATAAAGAGATCCATATCTGTGCCCATTCCAAAGAAGAGGGATCCAAAAGAATGTGGAAATTATCGAACAATATTATTCATATGACACACAACTAAAATTTTGCTGATCATAATTTAAAAATGGTTGTAGCAGTACATTGACAGGGAACTGCCAGAAATTCCAGCCACATTCAGAGAAGGACATGGAAC